AGGCTGTCTCCAAGGCGCCGTCCGCCCACGGCGGGCTCATGCTCTTCTATGAGCTGGGGCCCGCCGGCGACCCCGAAGGGAACAGCGAAGCTGGCGCCGGAGGTGCTGGCGCGGAAGGTGCGTGCAGTCCTGCTGGTGGCCTGGAGGACCTGGACGACGAGGATGAGAGCGGCGCCCAGTCGGGGGGAGGCGGCGGCGGGTGCAAAAGCTGCACGTACGAGGGCTGCAACGAGACCACTACCCAAGTGGCGAAGCAGCGCAAGCCTTGGATGTGCAAGAGGCACCGGAACAAGATGTACAAGGATAAGTACAAGCGCAAGAAGAGCGGCCAGGCCCTCGGAGGCGGCGGCGGGGGAGGTGGAGGCGGCCCCTGCTCGGCTACCACCGCTGCGGCGGCGGCGGCTGGAGTTGGACTCTCTGGGAGCAGTGGGCGAGTTGAGGTGAGGTGGAGAGGCGGTCATGGCGACAGGGCTGATTCCTTGTGACGGTACTTTAGCTTGGTTTTCTAACTAGTTGTCTAGGTTGAGTTCGCATGGCATAAACTAGCCTACCGCGTTAGGCGAATTCATCCAGTTTGGCTAATCCAGAAAATGGGTACGTTCAGCTCGGTATTTGTAGGCATGATTTCTGAAAGCAGCTTACGGCAAGAAACCCGTATTTTATATCTCTTGTCTTTTTCACGAAGCACTGTAGTGACAGAGTTCAGAAGTTCCTTGGAGGAAATTCTCTAAAACATGTGCATGTGCTGTTCTAAATGGGAGCCTGTAGTAAATGTTATCATTTACTGCTTTACCATCCAAGGCCAAACCAGTCCACTAAGTGTTGTTTGCTGTTGTTGATGCTGCTATCTAGGAACTTAATGCCAATCTGTTCTGGTTGCACAGTGCAATAGCTACACTAACTTTCAACTACCAAATATCACATGTGGCTGCCTTAATTATTGTAGCCTAAACTCACATCACTTTTTCTGGCAGTCACTTTTCTTGTTACTGTGTTTTCTGTGAGGAAACACATAGAACTCATCTGGATGAACAAGGAAACAGCTCTTGCTGAAACCTGGGCTGATAGCTTTCAGGTTGAATTTTAAATGAAGCTGCTGAGTGATTTTTGAACACGTGGGAAAGCTTTCATCCACTTGTGAAACTATAGGCCAGGGATAGCAGTATAAGACAGTTTTGTAAATGAAATTCGATTAAGTTTCTGCTAGAGTTTGTGTAGGTCAGTGCAGTTATAGCCTCATTGCTAGAGCAGAAGCTATTTACAAGGATAAAGGCTTACTTGATAGGATTCTTACATTTCTAATTTCTCAGAAATACTTCTGACTTAAAAATTAAAATAGGTTTGAATGACTCTAGAATAAACAAATTGTGGCTTCAATGGAAGATAGTAGAGTCAGAATTCTTTGTTACTGATCTTTACTAGAGATCTTTATCCTGTAACAGTTTCTAACGTTTATTAAAATAGTTTGAAATTGGTTTATAACTAAAGTTACACCACGTGCCTACTATTCTGTGTTAATTACTATAAATTATTTGCTTGATAAAGAAAAATTATTTGCTTGATAAACTTTTAAACGAAATTATTAAAGATCTGACATGCTCTATTTTTCAAAAGATGTTTTACTATAGAGAGAAATGAAATAATCAAAGGGTTTACTTACTAGGCTACCCCCTAAGTGATGTAGATGTTTTCTGACAGAACAAATACAATTTACTTTTCCTCTTTTTTTGTGTGTGTGCGTGCTAAGGATTGCACTGAAACTTCCGTTTCTGTATCAAAGCAAAGAACAGGTAATATTGGAGATCGGCCTGCAAAACCTACACTTTTGGAACAAGTTCTAAACCAGAAAAGGCTGGTAAGTGCTGATTAATTTCTGAAAAGCTGCTTTATAAGATGAATATACTAGTAAAATATGATAACTGTTCTGCTACATTTATTTTATAAGAGCAGGTTAACACAAGAAAAGTATTTGATTATGTGCTGTTAACCGCAAGTTGAGAAACGCTGTGAATTTCAGGAGGTTGTTGTACTTTTAACTCCTAACCTCCCTTGCTCCTTACTATTGGCCAGGCTGGCTGTTGCTGTTGGAAGTTATGGTTTTCCAGATATTGCTGAATTGCCAGTCAATAAACCAATATATTCTGGAAGTGGTCTGTTCAAATTGGGAAAGATGAAACTTCTAAAGTGAAGAAATAGGGGGGCTGATGTAGCATCTGAAGTACTTGTTGGCCCTGTTCACAAAACATGAGTGACTTAATCATCTCTCTCCTAATCAGATGACTCATTTTTCTGCACTAGCAGGGCATGACCTGATAGTTGCCCACTGTTTTTGTGGTCCTCTCAGCTGGTGCAAAGAAGTTAGGAACCTGCATCCTCCTGTTACTGTTTTTCCCCCCCCCTCCATAGCAAAAACAAAAAACCACACTGGTGTGATCAAGATTAGCAGCACAGTGAAAAGGTTGGGGTGGGGAACTTATTCATACTCTGTTTCTGCCATTCTCTAACCTCCTCCCCCAGCATGCAGGTGGAGGAAGATGGAAATTGGAATGACAGTAGAGATTATACTTCTAAAGAGGCTCCACCGTTTTTGTGGGTCTTAAGATACTGTTTCTATCTTGGAAGAGATAAGGGATAATTAACTCCTAAATAGTAGTCTGCAGAACAAGGCCACTATAGATCATAGTGTGTCCCAGGAACCCTTAAGTTCATAACTATATGGGATCTGAGAAATAAAGGCAAAATGTTAAAAATGGGAAAGAAGGAAAGCTAAACTAATGGGCAAAGAAAAAATAATAGTTATTTAATTGGTTTGTCCCACTGAATGCAGTAATATGTGGTTATGTGGAGACTCTGCATGTAATATATTTTATGCAGTGTCAGGGTTGGAACTGGTGCACTTGTATTTTTGTTTCTATCTAGTCACTTCTGAGAAGTCCTGAAGTTGTACACTTTCTGCAAAAACGACAACAACTGCTAAGTCAACAGGCATTGGAACAAAGACAACAGTTTTCAGGAGCACCAATGTAACAGCAACAGTTTCATAGCAAAAGTAAACACTATTATAATGGAGTCTGTTGAATTCCTGTAACTGTTGTAGATGGTTTCATTTTCTGTATTACCCGTTTGCTTTTTTTAAAAATTTGAAAATGATGTTTAACACTTATTTTAGATTGTTTTTATGTGCAGCTTCTCCTCTCAATTAAAAACTTCCATTGATTAGTTTTGGAAGTGATATTGATGTTTTTGGGAAAGATTAACTGATAGCGACCAATAAGCTGCTTTTTATTTTATGCAAAGTAACCTTGCATAAAGTTATTATTTTATGACATTCATTAAAGAAAACAATAGTTACTTTCTATGGAAGTTTTAAATAGTGAACTTTGAGCCACTCCAGTAACAACTTGTTCAGGAAGCCAAATCTGAGCATATTTTACTAACTGGGGAACTGCAGCAAGATTTGGCTCACAGTTCCATTACTGTTGTTAGATTTGTCTCCCAGGCAATCTAATTGATAATCTCTATATTACATTATAAATAATGTGTCCCAGATTTGTATTAATGTTATGTACATTTTGTACACATGGTTTAATATTTAGTGTATTTAAGCATATTACTGCCAGGATTCATTAAGAGGCATTTATTTGTATTTATTTATATTATTGTTGCATTTTAATGACTTATTTGTACTAAGGAACACCCATAGTTTATACAAGACTATATTAAAGCATCATTTTGTATATTTGTAATTTTTGAACTCTTTCTGAATATAGTTTTTTTTTTAAACTTTGTAAAATGTCATTTAAGTTAATTTTTTACATTTTTAAGGATTTTGTAATTGTACATACTAGGTTGACTTCAGTCTTAAGTCATGCTGAGATCAATAGAACTAATCAATCCAAGGACTCAGTAATTTTAGTGATTCTATTCTAACTAAGTCTGAATCAAGCCATTGTATATAACTGGTACTGTCTTCTTAGGTTATCATGATCCTGATTAGCTTAGTATTTCTCAGCAAGAACTTCTTTGTATTTATAGGAAAAGAAATCCTAAGCTGTGTCAAAAAATGCAAATTAAAAACATGGTGGATTTTTTATTATTTCTACATTAAATGTTTAACCAACTATTTTGGGTAATTTTTTCAATACTGTTTGAAAGAATAGTTACAATTCAGCCGCTGGTTATATTCAATATTCTGTTTCATTGTCCATTTCTGTATATGCAATACATGATATGACCCATAATGGAGTATATTTTGGTGTGCCAAGACTGTATGGTGAGACAAGCTGCTCTTACACACTAGTATACCACCTTTATTAAGTGAGAATTCCTAGCCATACTGCTGTCGAAATTATTTTAGAAACAAGACCAAGCCAGTAAGCTTCAAGAAAGGAGCTTCCAGGAAGCAGATGTACAGGGGAAATGAGAGGGCTGGTTGCTTTCAAACTTTCATGAGATACCTCCATTAACTCAAACACTGTTTGGGATAGATGCAGAAAGGGCTATAATTAAACTTAATGCAGTTGAATATTATATGTCACTGTATGTACTGTTCTTAGTTATATGTGCATCATAAATACATTTACTACTACTACTGAACTAAAATACATGTACTTCAAGCCTTAGTAGTTCATTAGCATTCCAATTTTATACCTGAAAGAGCTGTACAAAAACAATAAGCATTTTTAAACAGTAAAAAATAGACATGATTCTCACATTTTTACGTTTATGCTAACTAAAGGATATTTGGTAGTGTCAGTTGGCTTTTTATACAGTTACTCAGTCATGAGAAATGGGCAACAAATTTGTACCAAATATGTTTATAAACAGAAAATAAAATTGACAGATATCCTGGGCTGCTTTTGTTGATTAAAATACAGTGGTACACATTTAGAACAGCAATGGTATGTGCTTGTTAAATTAACAGTTTAAATTTTAAATTATTTTGAAGAAGATATAGCATTATTATAAATCTTAATTTTTTTCATATAGTACTGCAAACAAAATAGATGAAACTATGTATTTCACATTCTGTGTATGTCTTCATCAGATTACTTACAAAATTACAATAATAAATCAGTTTTCCTGAACTATTTTTTTTAATGTGTAACATTTAGCAACATTTGTAGAAATCCATGTTGGTACTTCAACTGTAAAAGAAACTGAAATGAAATGAGCAACCAGTCCTAACATTCCCTATCAATCAGACTGCTAGGAAATTCTTCTATTGTTAATATATTTCTCATTCGCTTGACATGACATAATCTCTTTAAAATTGGTCAAATCTAAAAATAAAAGCTATAGCAAAATTTATAGAATAATTTTGTTGGTGAAAAATTGTTGTAATCTTATTGAACTTTCTGCAGTATAATAATACTAACACAAAAAATACTCCTTGGGGCACCTCTGCTCTGTCAAAGTGAAGGAAAATGGTTATTTTCTGTTTATTTAATTATGACCAGAAGTATACAGATCTGCATGCACAGACGTAGGTAAGAGTATTAGTATGTGTTAAAATTCACCCTCCAAAATGATCAGGGGTGGCGTATTTCTATTTTTGAAGAGTAAATAAGCAGATAAAGGGTCATTATTGCAAGAATACCAAGGCATGTCTGCTCACATCTTACAAAATTTTACAATTTTTATTTTGTATAGTGAGGTTGAAGAGAATTTTTTTAGTTATTAATATTTCTTTAAAATTATTTGCTTCTAAAAAAAAGAATGTTGACTATACTGCTACAAAGAAAATGATTAGTGAAAATAGACTAAGTGTATTGGGCTATGCAAAGGGCTAAGAATTAAACACTGGTGGGATCTAGATAATTTTTTACATTTGTGATTATTTTAATTGATTCAGACAAGTTTATGGTAACAGTCTACACATAATCACAAATAACTGCATAGATTCTTGTTCATAATAATGGAGCACCATCAAATCCTCAAAGCAGATTAACTATTAGGAGTTTAAAAATAATTTATAATAGTTGAAGATGGAATAATTTATCTTAAAGTAGATACTGTGTAAACATGGTTACAGGTGTTTGGTTATTAAAAATGTATAGTAGTTGTCAAGTAACAGGAGGTGGAGGAGGAAGAATGCATGATTGGGGCATGGCCTTGTTTGAAGAACAAAACTAGAATATTTGTTTCCTAGGTTCATGCTGTAGAAACAAATGTCTGTTCTGCTGTCATTACTGAAAATGATAGTTTGTGCCTTCAAATGAGCTCAGTGAAACCTATGAATAATTTTATTAAATGTGTAATCACAATTATAAATTGTATTTTTGTCCTGGCAGTGAACCACGATTTAAAGCTCTGTAGAGTGTCTGAGGCATTTATTTCACCTTGTAGTTCATTCTCCATTTATCTGGAAGTAAGCCCTATTTAATTCAGTGGAACTGAGTTCTGAATAGACACATACAATATTTCATATCAGTACCAGTGTCCTTTATTTCATTAGATTTAGACACCACCTGACTCCAAGGTGACACTGGGTAGCTCACAATTTAAAACAAAGCAACAATTTACAAAATACAATATAAACTATGCAAGATCAGCATCCATATGAACAATGCACTATATATGCAAAATCACATCTAACAAGGGCACAAGGTGTTTAAATAATTCCCTTCCTCCACAGTTCTCTGTAACTGTAGTCTGACCACCTAAAAAGGAAAGGTTGAAGACAGAATTTTTGGGTTTAAGGATGGCTTCTTGAGGAGGGGGCACACTACAGTTTCCTTCAAGGCTGAAGGCATCACTCCTCTCAAAGAAGCTACCACAGCATGGACCCAACTAAGAGTCACCTCCCTGGCTGCCTTAACAACCCAAGATCTCCTGGATCGCATCAGCCTGTTCCATTTGATCTGGCAGGGAATGTATGCTAAGTGTTCCAATGGCCAGGGATTTGCATTTGGTGGGTCCCAGGAAGAGGCCCTTCTCTGCCGCGGCTCTGCCGTGGAACTTTCTCCCCCGCCCCCGAAGTGAGGCTCACCCCTTCCCTGCTGTTGTTTAGGAAGTCCCTCAAGACCTGGTTATGTCATCAGGCCCGGGAGTCTGGGAACTGGAGACATTCTTAGATGGCTCCACTATGATTAATATTCGCTGTCTCCATGAGGTTTGTGTATTTTAAAATTTAAAATTTTTAAACTTTTTGATATTGTATTTTAATAATCACTTTATTTTTTATGATTGTTTTTATCTATTTATTTTATTTAATTGTAGTATGTCACCCAGAGTCACTTTGTGTGAGATGGGTGGCTATATAAATGTGCTAAATAAAGGACCTGGATCTAATTAACAGATGGCTGAACTAACAGTTCAGAGAATCTTACGTACTTTCTCGAGTCAGTGACTCAAATTCATCCCAGTTGCACCACAAGACTGAGCCCTAGGAACCTAAGCTGGATTGGCCCAGTTGAAATCCAACTCCAAGTGGATCTGAGCAACTTTATCTGCCAAATAGAATATTCCTCACAGTGGCCCTGCAAATGATCCTGTGACCTCTGTCCCCACTGGGGTCCAGGTCACCCTAAAGAGGGCCACTGGGCAACTATCAGCAGATGCAATTCGGGTAGAGAAATATTGATGTTTCACTGCCCTTATCTCCATGAGGTAATCCCAAATATGGATTCTTACCCATGTTCGATTAGTCTGGCTTTGTCTGCCAATGTACTCTAGGCATCTCTTCTTGTGCTTCATTTCCCAGATCTTCTCAGTAATCCAAGACACATCCTGGGATTGATACACAGGAAGAGATCACATACCAGCAATATATCCAAGGCCGCAACTGAACTACCCATCGGATTCCCAGGGAAAATGCCAAGCTCCCTCTGGAATCCCATTGGGCCCATCAGTTGCCAGGGAGCATGTTGATTGAATAGGCTCCATCTTCCTGCAAGGGGGAGGGGCAGGTGATGCCATCTGATTGAAAACAGAGCGTGATCTGTCTGTCCAGAGAAATGGATTGATATTGTTCCCCATTACCAGATCACATCGCAATGATCTCAAGGCAAAAAACAGATCTGATATGTGGCCACTGGAAGGCCTGTTGTTACCATAGAGGCCATGAACTCCTGAGCTGACTGACCTCAATGGTGCCAGGTAGCAAATGTTACCTCAGGATCTCTATTGCCACCCCAGCAGCAGAATCCAGCAGCTCAGGCAGTACACCAGAAGCAAGCCGACTGTTCCCTAGAGGCCAACTTTAATCAGAAAGCTTCACATCTAGTTATATGTGAGCAGAGCCTCTGAGGCCTCAATAAGCTCATGGATAATAATAGCCACCTGACCCCCACCCCCACCCCATATTTTGGCTGATGCAAAACCTGAAATCCAGGTGGACACAATTCTAAGAGAAGTAACCCCCCCCCCGCCCGAGCCCAACTAGGTCTCAGCTATACACACCAGGTCAGCACCCTTGTCTATGGTATGATGGTGAACGAGGGCAGCTTTATTACAAGGCCACCAGGCATTTAGAAACAGCAGCTGAAGCCCAGGGTCACAAGGATACATTAACAGGCATTAAAGGTAGAAACCACGGCCAGATAGCTAGACCGCTTTCAAGCAGTAGACTCAATGTCCCCAAGTGCGGCCCACTCCAGAGTTCCTACCATACCTACCTCTGCCCATCACCATCACAATGATCCTACTTGCCCTCTCAATCCCCCCCCAACCCACTCCCACCTTTTGCTTCCTCTTCTCAGTCCAGGGCACACATTCATCAAACATCCTGTGGGATGTGGGAATGACCTTGGGAGTCAGGAAGAACAACTGCAGCCTAGACAAGGGTTTAATAAATGAAATTTGAGTCTGAAGGAGGGGTGGCAGCGAAAGTGTCTCAGAAGGGACCTTCCCTAGTTTTCCGGAGAGTAAAAGTAAAAGGAGGAAGGGGTACTTTCAGATTTGCAAGATTCTGTTAATGTAACCTTACAATAAAGATAGAGTGGGTACTTCTGGTTGTGTTTCTTGCCTGGGCTACCTTGCAAAGCTAACACTTCCCTGCACACATCGCACTAAATGCCCCTATCAACCTATCACTTACAAGGCACCTAACACTCTTGGCCATTCCTGTAAAAAGCACTTAGTGGCCTCTGGGGAATCAAGCCCCCATGGCAGATGGCCCAAAGTGCATCCAGCCACCCTACAATCTCCCCCAACCTGTTCTCACCATTTGGTCCCTCCAACCAGGCCAGAGCATTCGTTCACTGAATCTCCCCACCCACACCACATGTAACACATACCAAATGCTGCTGGTCATTCCACCCCTCACTTTAGGAAGGAGCTTTAGGATTATTCATCCATGTATGGTTCAGTTAACAAAATCCCATTCTACCCTAATTTAAGGAAAAAGACTTCAAGAGTAAATAGTTGCTACTCTTACTCTTGTCTTAGTTCCATTATGAGGGGAAAAAAATCAATTCAATTACTTTAGATAAGCTACCAATTCTGCTACTTGAGCTAGATCAGTGATGGCGAATCTTTTAGGCTCAGTGTGTCAAACATTTGGAAAATGACTCTGCTGGTGTGTCACCTCCCCGTCCCAAACAAAAGAGAAACAATTCTTTATGTATTTATTTTTAAAAAATACAGTCCAATCATGTGAGGTGCTATATACAGTATTATATAAAGAAACCTCAAATAATTACAAAAATGAAATACAAGTAAAACAAACTCAGTTACTTTGGTAACGCAAACAGGGAGAATAGTTGTTCGGTGTTGGTGAACGCTGGTGTGCCACCCAAAACATCGTGGCATGTCACCTTTGACAGGAGTGTCATAGGCTCGCCATCACTGATCTAGATTCTATTACAAGTAGTATATACAAGAATTGTTTGGGTAATAACTCCTCAAATATTGGATGTATCATTTTAGTACACTGTAAATTTTCAGATCAAATACTGTAGACTGATGCCTTCTGATTCTCTGCAAATGAAGGCACTTGTAGAAATCTCTTGATGTGCAAAATCCTTAATGTGGTTTCACAACATGGATCCTTGGATATGTGTGGGAGAAAAGCACCTATTATTCAGAGCACTGCTTGCTCTACTCAAATGCTTGGATGTTTACATATGCTGCTAGCTGGAGATTTTGTGGGAAAAGTATGAGACATAATATTCAATCCATTACAAAGTAATGATGATACAAATAAGACACTGTAAATAGCATTTTCCTTTAATTTTCCACATTCTGAAAACATCATTGCTTCTCAAATTTCAATTTATGAATCTAAGTTGAAATCTTTGTTTAAAAAATTTGATCTTTTAAGAGAGCTAGTTGTCTTCCCTACTTTTACCCACACACTTTATTTGGACACCTAAAGAGTTTTAGACATTTCTTTCAATGGGCCAACCTCCAAGTATGCATATGGATCCTGCCTGTTTCAAAGATAGTTCTGCAGATACCTATCAAGTACCCAGACTTAAATAAATCAGAGAAAATGTGTAGATTTTATACAGAATTTTTTAGGTTGCAATCCTATATAGCATCCCAGTAGTCGTGCAATGCTCTCAAACACACCTTCGAAGAGTCCAAGTAGAATTACAATGCTTATAACTGCAGCAGAAACTACGTGGTTTCCTTAATGCTGAAATTCTAATGTCATTGGGTTAAGGTTTAGATCTGTAGGATCCATATGCTTTTTATTGTTCCTGATCCATCCTTGGTAGGGGCAAAAATCTATGCAGCTCCACTGCAAACCATCAGAAAGAAATCATACCAATCAATAAGGCAAGTAGGAAGAAAATACGTATCTTCCTTTTCAGCTGGCTTTAAATAAAAGTGATCCAGTGCCTTTGGTTCTCAGTCTCTAACAGGATTGCTCCTCTAGAATGTCAGAGCATCAACAATTCTACCTTATTCATAGTTATCTTCTTTTTATAAGATTCTATTTCTTTTAACTTTAATATTGGATTGTTTTTCCATACACAATCTACCCAGGTAGCTTCTTCATGCCCACAGCTTCTTTGATAGCAATAACAACTATCTGGATCATTCATGAATAACAGGATTACTTCCTCCCCTCCACCAGCAGCTAATGGAAAGTAAGCCTGAGAATAAATGATCTCTAATGAAGTCTCAGAATCATTAGTAAGGTTCAATTTCTATCAGTAAAAACTGGGATTATTTTTTTTTCCTACAGATTTTTTAGTAGGAAAATAGTTGACCTGTATATAATAGATCATTTAGTTTTTCATGAGACAGGCTTAATACCATACAACTTTCAGTACTTCTAGATTGTTCCCAAAAAGGCTGGATGCGTTTTGAATTATCAACACATATCACTGCTATTAAGAAATGTTTTTCCTCTACACTAGTTGCTGATGAATGGCTTTTCTACCAAATGACTTTTAAATTTTCCAGCAGACCTTTTCAAAGCATGGCATATTTATGAACACATTTAATAGCTTTAAAGTTACTTTTTGTTAATATCTATACAAAAACATTTGGACACAGAAAGGTCTGTCTAAAGGGACCATTTTTATGCAGGCAGTCTTAGCTAAATTCTGAAAGAAGTGATCATATGATTTTTTCAACTGCAATTCGTCAGTAAAGATTTCTCTGTGCATACTGCATTCACCCACTTTTCATGGCTGAACGGGGCTCTTGGTTTACAAGTTCCCAGGACAGTTCTTTTACATTGGCTGTATCTTAGCTAGTTTTTTCCTGTTTGTCTACCCTTCCAGAAAAACAAGCCAGGCTTGTAGGCATAATAATTATATATCAGTAAGGATTTAAGACATTTGTGTCTCACATTGCTTGAAGATATCAACACTGCAGTAGATGTCACTGAAATTTTTATTTGAAACACCATTTTTTGATTTGTTATGTTTATAAATGTCTTGTTCACAAGTGTATAAAGGAACTACTATGAATGCATATCCTTACAAATATTATGCACTGTTTACTTTATGACTGTGTTTACACAAAACACTGAGGTTAAGTTACCAATGGTTTATCCAACCAAATTTCTTGTATTTACAAATACATTACACTATAAATTGGACAAGTGGGCTGGGTTTGCACTATACACTAGGCTATATATGACTGACTAGTTTGTGGTTCAGTGTGTCATGCAAAGGCAGCTTATGACCAATACATATCTATCTATTTTTCTAAATCAGTTTTATCGTTTTTGTAATGTAATATAGATTCTGCACATACAGTTTAGTTAAACTGTAAACCTTAAGAAGAAATGAAATTCAAAAGTAGTTTGTCATAATTCTATTAGGACTTAAAACTTACTTTTTCATTTTATTATTTAGTCTTAATTTAGATTTTTCTTCCAGCTGCACCTAGATCTGTATTTACCTGTAAGTAGAAGGTAAGATTTCATACATCAAATTAAACTATAGTTCACAGAAACACCACAAAATTGTATTCACCTGGAAGGTGAATTTACTCTTTATATTCACTCTTTGGCAGTGCTATGAAGCTATCCCTTTGATAGTTACATTTGATATACTTTAACAATGAATTGAATAATAAAACTTCTAATAATAGAACTACAATCTTTATCAGTTTTCCAAAACTTATCTCCTGTCAGATCTTTAATTCTTCAGAAGACAGGCTGCAGAAATCCATACATATTGTACATAGGAGACCTAAATCCCATTCTCATCCTCTAAGGTATTTTGCTTACACAGTCTGATGTCATTAAACTATTTTTCTCCATAAATCACTTGCTTCTAGGTTAGCAATGGAGGGGGAGGTATCTATCTGTCAAAGGGTTGGATTTGGACAGGGGTATCCCAGAGCAAGAATATTTTAAAAAAATAATAACTTGGTAATAGTACATTCAAGGGCAGGACACTGAGCCAAACTGATGTTCTAATTAGCAGAATTATACAAAGATGCTGTACTTAGACTTAAGTGCTATCAGATGATTTTCCTCTTCTGGCAAATGCATTTTCAGTTTTTGTTATTACACTTGATCCCTTTTGCACACTGATGCAGCAACTCATTTTTTGGGGCTATTCCAGTGTATTTTTTATCATTCAATATCCATGTACAAAGTGACTAATCAAATAAGTAACAGGTTATAAACTGAAGGAAAGGTTAGCACATATTAACTATATATTACCTTCTACTCAGAATCATTGCAGATGACAATTACCCTAATTTTTTTATGCTTATCTATAATTAGGATGAGTGGGAGGAGAGTATTTTTACTGAAACATTATTTACTTTATAAAGGATGAATTTGAAGAGTTTGAGTGAAGTTGGCAACATGAATCTGAAGAAACAACTATGTTTTGTATTAAGCAAATTGCGGTTGTCATGGTCAACTGTACATTTTTAGTATCAAGGCCCATAATGTCCAAATTTACTTTATAAAGGATGAATTTGAAGAGTTTGAGTGAAGTTGGCAACATGAATCTGAAGAAACAACTATGTTTTGTATTAAGCAAATTGCGGTTGTAAGAGTTTGAGTGAAGTTGGCAACATGAATCTGAAGAAACAACTATGTTTTGTATTAAGCAAATTGCGGTTGTAAATTGCGGTTGTCATGGTCAACTGTACATTTTTAGTATCAAGGCCCATAATGTCCAAGGGTAATTATTC